ATGGACACAGAACTTGGCTGGAGATTGTGGCTAGAGATCCTGGCAAGGCTGCTGATCAACTGAACGCTGTCTCCGTGTCATTCCTTCTTCGCCAACTCTGTCCACACCTTTGGGGACCCCTGGACCTGCTGGGGTTGGACCCCAGCACAAATTATTTTTAAAAATGTATTGACAATATTCTGTTCAAAGGTAAACAAGTTCACCTGTACTATTTGTATCATCTAAAAAAAATCAAGTTTCTAATCCAAACCCATTTTTCCATATTTTAATATATCACAAATATAAATTTCTGATTTTACTTTATGATAGTTCACAATCTGGTATTGAAGTAAACTCAAGATAATATTTACAAGATTAGAAATTTACACTAAAGGGGTAAAAAAGATAAAAAGCATTAGGCTCAAGCAGGAGACACCTCAGGTCTTGCTGTGGAACAAAGGGAAAATGTGTCAGATCAGTATCAGCATGTCACTATTAGAAGCTCCAGAAGATAAACACAGATCTGATGTTTTTAGAGACAACATTTCCTAATTTCATGTTAATGCTTTGACTTTTAAAAGAATAAAGAATTTCCCTTAGACTGGGTGCTAAAAACAACAGCAAAAACAAAAATCAAAAGAGGAAGATTTATTTAGGTTAACTGAGCATGAAGAGAAGATAAATGCATGCCTATCTTTTGAAGACAACATGAGAGAAGTTCCATTAAAATTACATTAAGTCGGAAAATTATTCAAGGCAGATATGAATGATTCTTTCAAGCACTCATATTTAACTAATAAGTCTAAGGATCTACAAAATGTTCTGTGTGCAATGACAGAAAAGATGGTCGAGATTAGGTTGGAAAGGCAAACGACATCTCAAGTTAAAAACCCATGCTATGATAATTGTTATTTAACTAAAACACATGCAATTTTCTTTCAACTCTGTCATTTAGCTTTTAAAAGCACTGCATCTAAAAGTGAAAATGCAATAGCTTACTAAAAGTATGTATTTTTTAATTAGCAGCTCGTTTTCTATAAAGCATCAAATGTTAAAAATAAAGCATAGTCATGCTTTTCTTGGGTGCCACTACATTGTGCCATGTTTTATATACCTTTCATTGATTTCCTCAAATGACTTGGGAGGGAATGAGAGGAAGGGAGAGGGAGGGAGGGAAGGAAGGAGAAAGAGAGGGAAGGAGGGAGGGAGGGAGGGAGAGAGAGAGAGAGAGAGAGAGAGAGAGAGAGAGAGAGAGATTAACAACAACAACAAAAACCAACCTAGAGAATTAAGGCTATGCATGTTCTAAAATCATCACTCCTCACCTTCCCCTTGGGTGGCTTCAGCTGGGGCAGCACGGAAATTAGTGCTGAGAAAGGATGGGGAGGGTGGAGAGCAGGGCAGGGATGGAGGGGGCTTCAGTTCTCAGTTCTGCTCTAACTCTCCATGATCAGCAAGACCAGCAATGAGTTGCTTAGGCTTTGCTTCTCTCTTCATTAACAAATGGCTTCCAGAATAGAATTCTCTGAAGTAATAAAAATAACTTAAATTTGTTCAATGTGGGATATATACAAAAAATGTAATCACTAGTTATCTCTAGGTGATACCGTCTCTGGGCTTTTCTATCTTTTCCAAATTTCCTAAAATAGATATATGTCTCTTTAATAAGCAGAAAAAAAACCAATGCTTTCTTATTTACAATTTGTTCTTCTAGACAGAAAAGAAAATATTCTTATTAAACAAAAGTACAGTTCTTAGGGAACACAAAGCACTTTATTAATATTGTACTTCGCAAGAGGTGTCTAATTTTAAAATATCATAGCTTTGCCTTAATTAAACAGAAAGCACCTGAATGGTTTTCATCGTGTTTGAGGATGCCATGTCCACCTCACTTAAATTTGCCCTGGCTAGAGGTATCCCCAGCGGCAAATGAAAACTCTAACATTGACCCACTTTGCCTTGCTCTATCTTCAAACCTTACTGGAGGGCCCGGTGGACCAGAGAGCTTTGAAAGGTAGGCTCCCCACTCAGCATTAGATGGTGCTTTCCTTTGGTTGATAATTAGGTTGGGGACTTCCCTCAAGGAAAATATCTCCATTACTCCTAGTTAATCCTGGCTCCATGACGAGCCGGTATCCTACTGGATGTTCTAGGGCAGTGTTCGGCAAACTGCAGTTCGCGAGCCAACACTTTCTATGTGGCTCCAACATCTGTACTCGCAGCCTTGTTCTAGACCCGTGGTCGGCAAACTGCAGCTCGCGAGCCACATGCAGTTCTTTGGCCCCTTGAGTGTGGCCCTTCCACAGAATACTGACTTCTGCGCATGAGCCATGAAGTTTCAATTGCACTGTACATGCGCGCCCATATGTGGTATTTTGTGGAAGAGCCACACTCAAGGGGCCAAAGAGCCGCAAGTGGCTCGCGAGTCACAGTTTGCCGACCACTGTTCTAGGGGAATTAGGAAAGCAAAGAGTTGCCTCTGTGGTGCAATTTGGGAATCTTGGTCCGCAAGGTACTTGTTTAAATTAAGGAATCTGGTCCATAGGTGTACGCTTATAACAACATCCCTGTGTTACCTGAGAGAGGTATCACACTATATCATCCCTTTGCATTCTAAAAGTGAGCCAAATGTTACTCTCAGCCACTTGGCGAGGCTCAGAAGGAATGTCCCTATGAGAAGTCACTTCAGATGAGGGAGTGGGAGTGGAGAGGACAGGCCCAGGGGCCAGCATGACGATGCCAGGCCCCCAAAGGGAGCATGGCACGAATAAGATTCACAGGCTGCTTTTCTTCCTCCCTCCATTGTGATGGAACAGATGAGGCTGTGCCCTGACTTCCACATATCCTGCAGCTGGATGGGGTGCTAAGGATTTGCTGGGCCTTTTCCGTAGGCATCTGGCATGCCCCAATAATTTTTATAATGTCAAAACTATATAAAAGAAAAAAACCCACACAGGTATATAAATGATCTTAGGGAATATTGAAAATTACAATTTTAAAAGTAGACTTGGGCCAGAGTGGGTGTGAGGTGTTTGGGCCTGTTTTGATCGGTGCTTACAGTCAGGAAAACGGTCTCGTCGAGCTCCTCTGCTTCTCTCACTATGGTCTCCAGGGTGTCCTTGGCAGCATCCATGCTCTGCAGAAAGTGGACCATCTGGTCATGCAGGAACTCCATCTTCTTTTTCTTCACTTCCTCAAAGCTCTGGGCCTTCTCATCATACTGTGCTAAAACCTTCTTCATCATCTCCTCGTTCTGTTCTTCTAGCTTTTTCTCATTTTTACTACAATTTTCCTAAAACAAAACAAAACAAAATTCTGAATGAAATGAGAAGTGCATCTATTTTTTTTTATTTTATTTTTTTAGAGAAACACCAACCTTTTAAAGAACTGACCTCAGGCATTCTGGTCAGGGAATCACAGATTATGTGCACAGTCTAAATTTCCAACCCACCAACGGCCCTTTGACATAGTTAGCTCTGCAACAGAATTCACTGTAAGAGCATCCTCAAGAAGGATTTAGTTAATGAAAACACACAGAAAGATATGTGCATGAAGTCTT